TTGCTATTTTAGTGAATGTCTAGTGTTTGAACATCTGTCGGCAGAAAAGGTAAGCAACAGCTTTAGGCCCCGATCACACCGAACGCGTTTTTAGGTCTGAAAACGCGAGGCGCACCACACTGCCTTTTTTTGGTGACTTTTAAAAAAAGAGCAGTGCGCTGCGTTTTTTTATGTTGCTAGGCAACCACCAAATCAGCTGTCCTGTCAGTCTAATCAAATGATTATAGCGCGAGCGCTCTAAAATCTTTGGTTTTTGCTGTTAAGTAAACTGTCATATTAGCAGAAACCTTAAAAAATACAGCTCCGGGTAACCCGCGACAGACACCAAAAGTTTCTCCTCCATCATTGCAGTCTCCGGACTTTCTAAGCAACGGCAAACTTTCATCACCACAATGGAAGGCCCGCCTCTCCGTTCATTTGATTGGACAATTGAAAAAATCCACGAATGACGTTGGGCGCTTTTCCGCTCAGAGCTGCTTCTTTTTCCAACTTCGGGCGCTCAGAGCTCTCCTATGAAGGTAGAATGACGTCAAAAAGATTTGACCGACTTTTGGCGAAAAAAAACGTGCCAAAAGTGTAAGCGCGGAAACATGGAAGTCAGAAGCATGCAGATCATATTTATTTTGCGTTAGCATGAAGCTGCAGTTTCACAATACATGATTACACTTACGAGTACCAGTAAAATGCTGCAAATAATTTTTTCTTGCGCTTGAAACACGATTTACACCTTTACAAAGCTTCTCTTGCGCATGCAAATTTAATTTACGCTTACAGTCTTATGTACACTTCCACAACTCTTACCCTGCGTATGCAAATCTTTTTGACGTCATTCTACCTTCATATCTCCTCCAAAAACGCGAGGCGCAGCAGGCGGCTAAAACGCAAGCCGCCCGGGGCTCATAAACAGCGCGCAAAACGCTCACTGCCAACAGAAAACAATTTAAAAAAGGCGCCTCACGGCAAAAAACGCATTCTGTCTGATCGGAGCCTTAGACTATCAAATGAACAAAAACGTCACCCAAATTAGCTGCAGTGTATTTTGTTATACCTGACCTTGGATTTTAAAGCTTTTAAAGACCAGCCAGAGTTAGTGGTCATTCTGGTGGGTCACTAAAGACTGGTTGCAAAGTAGTGGTGCAACGGATCACAAAACTCACGGTTCCGATCATATTACGGATATTGAGTCACAAATTGGATCATTTTTCAGATCGGCAAAAAAACTAAAAAAGTTTGCTTTTCATTTATTACTGAAAGCTTACTTAAGTACTTCTATACCACGGCAAAAACTACTAGCTTAAAACAGGAATAATTACACAAATTACAAGCATAGATGAATACAACAAAGTTACAAATAAAGTCAGTAACAGTAGTATTCAGGTGCAGAAATGTAATAATTAAGTGTAAAATAACACAATAGTGTTCACTGCATAAGTTAAATACAGATGTCATATGACCCCTTTAAAGCTGTGGTGTTATTTGATTAGCAGACAGCAGCAGGTATTTATAGGTTGCTGTCTCTTTAAGACCAAATGCACAGACCTAATACTGACACACATCTGGTTTCTTTCTCAGCTGTTTACCAGAATACCTGCCAAAACGGGTATTTTAACATAGCTTTGTGTGTATGTGTCCGTTCAAGCACAAAGAGATGTGAAAAAGGAATCAATACGGTGTTCATGCGCCGTCTCAATCGCACCTCTCTCTCTCTCTCTGTGTGTGTGTGCGGCAGCGGCTGTGCACACAGAAAACAGTGTGCGAGTCCTGATTCAAGTTCTCTTTCGCTTGAATGGTTTAAAATTGCTTGAATGTGTAAATTGGCAAGACAAAACACGTGCAAATGATAAACTTTCACTCTGTGATGGTTAAACTTAACATTTATGATCTGTTGCACCCCTACTGCAAAGGGGCGGATTTCTGGAACTAAATCTTTCCATGGGAACTAAATCTGAGGAATTTTGACAATCTTCCAAGTTGGAAACTTAACAGAAATTTATGGGAATTAATTGGAAATTTGGGGAAATTTCAAGAAACTATATCATTTACAAACATAAATATAAACATTTTGTTTGGTCATAAGCCGACATGCATGTAAACTAATGCAAATTTTAAAAATTCCATTTTTGGATTTTTTGGAACCTGTGATATGTTTTCCAGGATACATTTCTGAATAAAAACTTAAAAAGAACAGCATTTATTCAAAATAGAAATCTTTTCTAACAATATAAGTCTTTACTATCACTTTTTTATTAATTTAACACATACTTGCTGAATAAAAGTATTAATTTCTTTCAAAAAAAAAAAGAAGAGTTTCTGACCCCAAATTTTTGAATGGTAGTGTACTGTTAAAAAAAAATTCTATTGAAAAAAATGCTGTTCTTTTTTAACGTTTTATTCAAAGAATCCTGAAAAAAGTATCTCAGGTTATATATATAAAAAATTGATAATAAATCAGCATATTAGAATGATTTTTGAAGGATCGTGTGACACTGAAGACTGGAGTAATGATGCTGAAAATTCAGCTTTGCATCATAGAAATAGGCCTACATCATATTTTAAAGTACATTAAAACAGAAAACCATTATTTGAAATTGTAATAATACTTCACAATATTACTGTTTTGCTCTGTATTTTTGATCAAATAAATCTAGGCTTGATGAACGTAAGAGATTTCTTTCAAAAACATAAAAATAGTAATGTGTCCAAACTTTTGACCAGTACTGTACTTCTGTATGATAACAGAAAACTGGCTAGCAGAAGCTACAAGAAAGAGCATCACAGCCTGAGCTAGCTAGCACATGATACCTAGCCTCATAAATGATCAATGAAATAGTGCTAACTAGCTTACATTTTTCATATCTGATTTACTGGCTGGCTAGCTACTGTATAAACACATTTTGGTATTTGCTAGTTAAACTTGAATGCCATAGATCAAATATATTTCCCCAAGTAATATCAAAAAGCCTGGAAAATGAGGAGGAATTCCCCCATTAGGTGACTAGGCGGGATTGTGTGCGGGGAAGGGTCATTTTTAGACAGTTTTTTTTTTTAATCTCCTCACCTAAATGTTTGCTCAGTCAGTGTATTTGTTTTTACAATGGTATAATTTTGTTGCGCAATAGCTTACACACAGCACAAGAAAGTTTTAAACAAATTTATGCAATATGCAAGTTACGTGAATACTCACCAAGATGGACATTTAGACATCATTTTGTGTTCAGGATTCAAGAAATTATTTGTGCATGTTATGGAGGAATGCACGGTGCATGTAGGGTGTGTGTGCTGTGTGCATGTGATTGAGGTAGAAATTCAACTGAAATTGCATTAATTCTGGTTGTTTTAGCCAAGATTATGCTGCAAGATTTTTTTTTTCCAACTACATTCAAGTTCCCTGTTCCTGCAATTTTTTTGCAAATTCCCAGTTTATTCCCATGGAAATTTTCCAGGCTTGAAAATTCCCAGAATTGTGCAACCATACTAAAGACTGAGGTCAGTGCAAGGTCAGAACGCTGTTGTATTCTGAGAGCGGAAAAACGTTCCTCACCTGCCGCTTTGCATATGAGGTCATTCAACATGCATGCACAGTAAAACACACCTGACCGCTGCAGGAGCTCCGTCTGATGTAATGGGACTGGTGTGTGATGTGCCTGATCTATGAGTGTGTGTTTATTCAACAGTTCTGTCATTCAGTCAACATGCACCGAACAATGCATGAGAGAAATGAAACATCAAAAGGGCTTCACTGAAGGTACTGGTTTGTTTCAGGACTAGAGTTGGGAATCTTCAGCATCTCACGATTCAATTTAGATTCAGAGTCAAATCGGATTCCAAAACGATTCTCGATGCACCTCAATTTTTCCAGTAACTTATACAGCACAGGTTTGAACATCTTTAGTGAAATTTTATAGTACTGTATACAATAATATGCTGGCTATCATCCACAAACAAAAATAAATATTTGTCAGTTTAATACGAAATAACCAATTTAAATATATATTTTTTTCTCCACACAGTTTTCTTAATCAGTAAAAAATAAATAATGTCTACCGATTACTAGCACCATATAATTTTTTTAATCACCATTAAGTGAGATGGTCAGATAAGTAATTATTTATTGTAATTAACATTAATAATAACAATAATAACAACAACAACACAAATTAAAAATGCACATGACACAAATTAAAATAAATGTAAAAATAATATAAATTTATTGGCACCATAGAGTTTTTTTTTTGGTTTTAGTCATTAAATGAGATGGTCAGATAAGCAATTATTTACTGTAATTAACATTAATAATAATATATTCATAAAAATAATTACACAATCATAAAACAAAAAAAAAACATTACTGTAATTTTACTGGCATCACGTAGTCATATTTTTTTACTCAACCATTAACCATTAAGTGAAATGTCAGATAAGAAATGTATTAATAATAATTATTATTATTAATTTTAATATTATTAACAACATAATATTGATGGGTAAATAAATTTATTGCTGTAATTTATTGTAATTTGCTGGTAGTGTTAATTTATTAGACATTAAAAGTGAGATGGTCAAATAAGTAAAGTTTTATTGTCATTAACATTATTATTATCATCATCATCAATAGCATCATTACTAATAATATTGATAAACATAAAATCTATTGTAAAAATCTAAATCTAAAATCTATAGCTTTAATCTAACAATTTAGTTATTATTGTCAAATTGCAAAAATAAAACAATCAAAAACTGGTTCCACTGGTTGTCAGGTTCTAGTACACCCCCAAAACAAAATCAAGACTTTGTAAAAGAGCATAATAGGACCCCTTTAATAATAATAACAGTCATATTGGTTGTTTCATAATAAACAAATGAATAATGAATGTTTGTGGATCAATCCAGAATCATCTGAGAAAGAACCGTGATGCATCAGCGAATCGATTTGTTCAAGATTTGTTCGCAACGTGTGTCCACACAAAGTAGCCTGTGTGTGTGTGTGTGTGTTCACTTACCTGGTGCGTGAGAGTTGATTGTCTCTCCCTCATTGTCAGATGAGGCCGTTAGCGGCGAGGATGAGGATGAGTGGGCTGTGATGTCGCTGTCGCTAGTGCTGCTGTCCTGGAGCACGTCGGGTTTGCGTCTCGCCGCCGCCTCGCGTTTCTGCCGCAGCTGTCGCATGCGCTGCTTCTGCTGCTGGCTGCGCAGGCCTCTGACGCGCATGCGCCCGTTCACCTGCTTCTCCTGGCAGCGGTTCTTCTTGGCCGCCATGGCAACCGTGGACGCATCGCTCTCAGAATGCGAACGTCGCGACTTCCTGCCGGCCGTCTGGACGGGCGCGGGAGCTTCCTCCGCTGACGAAAGTGTGTCGGAGTCTCCCAGGTGACCGGAGGAGGAAGGCGACCGCAGGCAGGCGGAAGAATCGCTGTCTTCCTGCACGCAGGACTGGGCGGCGGCCGGGGGTGGGTCCATTTCCTGCGGCTGCCCGGGGGCAGAGTCTCTATGAAGCTCCTTTAGTAAGCACGGCATGGAGAGCAGACCAGGCGCCGGCTGTTTGTCAGGACTCTGCGAGCTGATTGGCTCCTCGCACGCCGGAGAGCTGGTGGGCGTGGTCTCTTGTCTCAGGGGCATGTCCTGCTCTTCTGCTGTGGCCCCGCCCTCTGTAGGGCATTCAGGGAGCTCGTTGGCCTTCTGGGCATCAGTCATCTCTGGAGGGCGGGGCCAGGGGCGGAGTCTCTGAAGTGGCAGTTGATAGGTGACAAACAGGGGCTGCTGACCTGGAAAACAAGAATTGTGTGTCAGTATAACAGCTGACAAATGTCGAATGTTTACATGGTTAGTTCGGTTTCTCATCATTCAACCACCACTCAGATACTGTGGATTCGGGTAACTATCACGCACCTTATCAACCTTTCTACATGTCATTAGACTCCAACGCACAATGCTGTATTTCACGAGAGTCTGGCCTTGAAAAGTTGTTTCAAAACTTCATGTGTATAAACAAATGTTTTGCTGCGGCCTCAGTCACAATGCATGAAAACGTACAAATATTAAAAAATCACTTATGAGAGACTGATCTCACAAACAGCAACTTGTATACAATATTTAGATCTTAGATCACAACTACAAAAGCTCATACTGACTATATAAATAAATATTCAGGTAACACTTTACAATAAGGTTCATTAGTTAACATTAGTTAACTACTTTAGTTCACATGAACCAAACATGAACAATACTTCTACAGCATTTATTAATCTTATTTCATGTTAATTTCAACATTTACTAATGCATTATTAGTGCTTAATATTAGTTAATGCACTGTGAATTAACATGAACTAACAATGAACGACTATTCATTAACAAAGATTAATAAATACTGCAATAAATGTAATGTTCATTGTTTATTCATGTAAGTTAATACATTAATGGAACCTTATTGTAAAGTGTTACCAATATTCATGACTTCATGAATTCAAACCAAAAAATAATATAAACTAGAAATGTATAAATGTTCATGACTATCAATTCCATGACTTTCAATTCAATTCCATCAATTCAGGATGGAAAAAATAAATAAATTTAAAGTTTTCCATAACCTGTGATACAAAACACTACAGATCTTTAAATTTTCCTCTCAAGACATTTAAAATCAAAACTCACAAGCCTGTTTTACACTTTCTACCAAAACACCTCATTCAGAAATCTGACGGTCAATACTTGAAATACGTGAAGAAAAAAAATAGGCACACATAAAAATAGTGCTGTTTATACAAAACAAATATTGGAATTTTATTTTTGTATACTGTTATATACTTTTTTTAACAGTAAAATTAACATTTACAGTAAAAAAAAATTACAGTTGTGAATAAGAAGTCACATTAATAAGAAAAAAAGGAGGAACTTGTGATATTTTGAGCAGGGAATTTTCATTATTTTTACATCTTCATGTGACATTATCTAATTATCAAAAACCATATGCATTATTACAAGCCACACACGCAATGACTGCCACAGATCAGATTTCTGTATATGTTTACAATCTGTAGCAAAGTGATTTTAGATACCAGTGTCAACTATCAAAACGAGGAATTAAAATACAGATTCTGAAAGCTTCTTGCACGTTTTAAAGGAGATCCCACATTCATTCCGACAGCAATTACAGCACCCAAAACTGCAGCAGCGATGGTATTTTGGCGAAAACTGTGGTTACCATGTAATTTTTTATACGAGCTTCCCTAACATGTCTAGTTCCTCTCGCAGGCACTGAAACATGAACCAATCATCAATGCATCATGCATGAAGATCACGAGCCGCTGCTAACGACGTGTGTTTATCAGTCTTGTTTGCAATTAATAAAAATCAATGCATACTTCCTCAACATCCCAGAATCAGTTTATAAATCATAGTGCGTGCGTGCAATTCAACGCAACTCAATGCACCGACGCAGCTGCGAAAGAAACGAACGGAACACCGCTCTTAAATAATTACAGAGACAGGAAAATAGTAAAACAAGCGAAACTAAACGTTGCACAGCGCTAATGAAGACACTGCGGCACAAACGCTCATCCTGCGACACACTGTTGCTGTAACACTCAGTCTGGACACAACCGCTGCACTATAACCGGCACATTTGCACGTTTCGTGGATACAGCACACATATATGCATGTATGAACGCGTGCATTAATTAAAGTGAAAGTAGGACTGGGTCAAAACTGCAGTAGAGGTTCAAAATGGAGAGGCGCAGTGATAAGAGCGCGCTCGACCGCCGTCGACTGCAGCTTACCTGGTTCAAATCTGTCCTCATGTGTGTGTTCTCTGGAACTTCTCAGGCTCGCAACACCATACTCATGAGGAAAATATGGAGTTAATTGAAATTTTATGGAATAACCGCTATGTGTTCTCGACTTTCCGACCGCTTTAGCGCAGTTTGCTAATTTAAAATGTCCCCACTAGCCGTCGCTGGAACAAATGTGTAGTCGTCATTTCCGCTGCGGCGGAGTCGGGAAAAACAAAAGGCGCCACCGTGAGACTCGGAGAGGAATTGCGTTTATTACAAGCGCCACAACTTACAACTCACATTTATTGCATTTATTAACACGCTTTTTATTAGATATTTTAAATAATCGAGATAAAGTGTTCATGAAGTCCACTTTCTGCTCCAGCTGGGCATTCAGGGCACCATTGGGAAAAAGAAAACGTTACTCTAAATGTATGATTTCCAACAAAGGTAAATAATATTAAAAAATAATAAATGTCAAAATAAAACTAAATTTATAAATAAAATTACCAGCTCTCGTCTAGCCTCCTCGATTTTCACCCGTGCAAGAGCTGGACTCTGAAAAAAAAAAGTACAACCGTAATGAAAACCAGTGTTATTTTAGTATCATTGACATACTATTGTAGTTTTTATTAATATTTTGAATCAGTTTTTATATTTTCATTTTACTTAACATTTGGGTAATTCTGTCATTTTTATTTTTTTTATGTCTATACAGTTTTTATGATTTTTTATTTTAGTTTGTGTCATTTTTATTTTTGTTTTAGTATTAGTTATTTTAGTATATCAAGTTAATCTAAATTAAAATGATTTCAAGTCACTTTTTTATAGTAACCTGTAAGCTATATAATAATCCTTGATGAAAACTAGAAAAAAAATGGGTAAAATAACAATAATAGAATTTTAATAACTCTTAATGATTTATTTAGATGTGGATGTGATTATTTTATTGAATAATGTGTCCTTCATACTGTGCATTGTGCTATGACAAAATTATTATTTATTAACCAACCCACACAACTAAACCAAGCAGTGCTTTCCTATGCAAAAGTCACATGATGGTGTCCATGTTCAATATAATGCTGTAATCTTCATAGAAGTTGTACTTACAGGGCTCAAGTCACTATACGGCTCTAGTTTTTTCTTTAAGGGTAGTGAGTCCTCTTCCAGAGCTGCGATTTTCTAAGTATAAAAGATGAGAGAAATTAATTAAATTAAATTTCATACCAGCCTGAAGGTGCAGTTCTGTTACAGTCCATATTCATTTAATATTTTTTTACATTTATGAACATATTAAAACCTTAAATTCCAATAGTAGTATTGTTGTTGCCGCCGCCGCCATGTCGTGAAGACGCTGTTTCAGAAAGGCGGGGCATAGAGGAGAAACAATAATGTACAGTATGTGGAAAATAATGTGTTTTTTAACCTTAAACCGCATAAACACATTTCATTACACCAAATACACAAAATAATGTACTTTTTAGCAGCATCATATGACCCCTTTAAATCATTTATTATGCACATAAGGTGAATGGCTTAATGTGATTTTGCCAGGTAGATCTATGGACCAGTCAGATTTCAGGGTTAACGTTAGGTTCTGTGGTTGCTGTTCCAGAACCACCATGCATGTTGACTCAGGAGCATGCCTAAATCATCTCTTGCATGTGATGTAATAGATGTAAATAACGCTTTTATGATGTAGAGTGTTACTTTACCTCCCAAGTGATGTGTCTCTGAGTTTAAGCACTTCAGCGGTTCCCTCCAGTGCTGACAGCAGGTCCACTGTGGATCTGGAAAGTCCTTCAGCCTGAAGTCCTACTGCCTGGAGAAGCACTTCTTGGAGATGAGTTCCTGTCACGGACAAGCAGCTCCAGATTAATTTAGTCCACAACAGAAAATTGCAATTTTATAGAACCATTATGCACTTGGCAGACTACTTTATCCAAAATGACTGTCCTAGAGTCTCACCATCACTGCCGTACTCTTCTGTTTTCTGCTCGTGGTCCTTGATGAGCAGCTCAGCCTCTCTGCATCTCGTCTCACTGCTCTCCGCCAGCTCATACAGAATCTCCACTGTGCGTGTGTTCACTTCAAACTCAGGTACCGGCTGCTGCCAGAACACCTTCCTGAGCCACTGGCTCACCTGAAATGACACAGCATATGCAAATGCACTGTAAATGGCACATGCATGCATTTTGAGATTCAAGAATAAATATTTATTGGAATAAAACCAAGTTGTTTGTGTTAAATGATTCTGAATGACTACCATATTCATTTACATTTTATTCCAAACTATAAAGAATACCACTGTATTGCTATAGGACGTGTTCATAAACATAATAGTGACAAGGTATTTTGTTTTTTTCTGTTGTTTTGTTCGCATCTACCATATAAGGATGTGATTCATGAGACGTATAATATCAAACACGTGCATTAAAATCAGTGTAAGTTATGCAACTAGTCTAATAAGACTAGTTAGATAAACACAAACAGAACTACAGTGAACATTTACGCATTTGTGAAGCGATTTACATCGTATTCGGGATTTTTTTTTTTTTAGTTCAAGCCTGATGAATTCTACAAAGATATTATAAAACTATATAAATACTTTTATTATATATATTTTTTTCACAATGCAATATTCTCTGGGATAAAAAAGTATAAATAACCATTTATTGGAATCACAAAAGATTTAACACTATTTAGCCAACTGTTTTATCTCACAAAACATTTATCTGAGAAATTATTCTTCATACAACAAATAAATGAAAATAATGGAAATAAATGTTCCTTTTTATAGCTTTAAATTAAAGGACATATAATGTATAAATGTATAAATAATAAATATAATAATAATTTAAAAAGTAATAAATATAATAATTTAAAAAGTTATAAAAATGCCTATTTACAAATACATTTTTCTAAAAGTTGGTCAGAATTCTTTTACTTTCTGAAATGAAGTATTCTGACTGGATATTGCCATATAAATATGTTATTTCTAATAAAGTAAAAGAAGTAGGCCTATTTATACAATTATTCACAGATGTTATCCTGTAAATGCAGTAGCTAGATATATTCATAGTGTTTGTAACATATCAGTTGAAGATATTGAACATTTATTTTTCTATTGCCCTTTTTCTATTTCATTTTGGGATGACTTTAAAATAGACCTTAAAGTCCTTAACTTAGAACCTGTACTTTTCTACATTTAGTATTTTACTTTGTTTTCAAAACCCTGTTAATTATCTTTTAATTATTTTAGCAAAGTTTTATATTCATAACTCAAAAATCATTCAAAAGAAACCATCATATATTACCTTTTGTAACACTGATCTTAAAATATATTTTGAAACCTTTTCTAATATGAAATCACAAAATAAGTTAGCCCTAATATTATACTTTTTTATTCTAGCATTTTTTATGTTTGTTTATTTTATGTTTTTTTGTTATTCTGTTTCACATGCTTTAAACTGCACAATAAAAAGTGTCTTTTAAATGCATAAATGTAAATGTAATTTTTTTTTGTAATGTAATGTAACACAAAAGACCAAAATAAAAATGCGAGGTGTAAAAAGTTCAGACCGCTCATTTGCGTTCCGACATTGTTGACAGCCGTTAATGAACAATCACTGTTTTAGATCGACTGTAATATTGTATAAGATTTCCACTCAAACCGAAAAGCATACATCTAGGCGATGCGCTGCCGGTTTCATTTCTCTCTCTCTTGCTCTCTCTTACATTAATTCTTTAAACCATCTATATTAATAAATATTAGTGCTGTCAAACAATTAATCGCGATTAATCGCAGACGTGCAGTCTACCAATAACATTAGAGCGACAGCAGTAGGAACGCCCACAAGCGTCTTCACAGCACAGAGTCTAGCGACATACAGCGAAAAAGTCGCTGTGTCTTATAGTAGGCCTACTACTGTATTTAGATTTACAGTAGGCTAATATTTTCCCTGAATGCATTGAAAATCTACAGTAACACTGTATACAATGTATACAGTAGGAAACTGCTGAGAATACAGTAATAATAATGTGAAAACAACAAAATTCACAGTAACATATGCAAATTGTACAGCAGGGAACTGTTGAAAATGCAGTTATATACTGTGAAAACAACAACAGTTATTTTTCAGTGTAATGCCATTAAAACCTTAATGATACCAATCCCATACATGCTTTGTGTAATTATTGATTAAATATGACCTTTTTATTAATACATTTGCTTTTTTCTGCTTATTGCTGCTTACTGCTGATTGTATTTGCATCAGGAAATTTGCATCAATTAGTTTTAATATCTGAAAAGCCATTAAATATTATTTTTGTTATATTTTGTATTTTTGATGTTGGGCTTTCTGTTTTACATTTCTCAATAAAGCTTTTAATTGCCTAATAAACATATTTATTTTACAACAAACATAAATATATTTTAAATATATTTTACTCCACACATGACTGCGATCGAATGAGGCAACTGTTTGTCTACATTGATATACCTGCTTTTTGTGTAATGTGTTGTTTTATTGTTGTTTATCATTTTAAATATAATTTGGCGCTTTTTTTTAAGTATAACAACAAATTACAAGTTTACAGAACAAATTGGCATACAACTTACATTCAAGGACAACAGTTTTAGGAGGGGCTTAGACTTACACAGAATAATAATAATAAACAAAAAACATTAATTCTTTAAACCATCTATATTAATAAATATAGATTAAACACGGGATAAAATAAAACATTATAATAAATTATATTTATCAAATAAATCTAACACGATTCCAGCTTTTTTATTTTGTGTTTTTGAGTATTGTCTCAAATAGTTCTTAAATAGCCTAAAGCTGCCGGTTTCAGAGCAAAACGCAAAACTGACATTTCATTCACTGACGCGCTTCACCCGGCAACCCGTCAAAATAAAAGCTTGCTGATTTTAGGTTTGAAAATAATGAAAATTCATTTTTTTTTAAGTTACTTTTAACACTGTATTTTTAAGTGTACTATAAAATAACTGTATTTTATACTCAATTTATTTTTAAATACAATAACATTATCACACGGATTATTTTGTTTATTATTTTATTAAAATACAAAATAACTAAACGCAATAATACTATTATCACTATTAATAATAATTTTATGTTTATAGATATATTTAATGAGTCACACTATGTGCAGTGTGAGTACAAAACCAAATCAGATGCTCTCATGAGGACCGAGAACCGAGAAACGTACGCGCGGAGGTAAGATGGCGGAAACCTCAGCGGGTGGACACAACGCCAGTGGGTGACGTGTGGAGTATGATAAAAAGAATGGGAGGCAATAAAAGAGAGTGGGTATATCCAGTATTAGAAACAGAAAGGGAAATTGCGGTAACAGACAAGGACAAAGCAGAAATGCTGGTAAAAACATTTGTACAGATCCATGGGTCAGGGAATTTGAGTGAAGAAGGAAGGAGGAGGAGGGAAATAACAAAGAGACAACATCTAGAAGATCTAGGAAATAATGGGGGAATAGAAGATCAGTCAGTTAACCTCCTGTTTACTCTAGATGAACTGAAAAGGGCAATTAGTAATTTAAATAATACACTGTCGTCTCCAGGAAAAGATCAGATCACAAATATAATGTTGAAACATCTTAAAGATGGGGCTATGGGAAAAATTTTAGACTTCTACAATAGAGAATGGGAGGAAGGAAGATTACCAGATGCTTGGAAAGAAGCTATAATAATTCCAATAAGAAAGCCTGGCAAAGATCCTTCTAAACCATCTAATTATAGGCCAATAGCTCTTACTTCGAATATATGTAAATTAATGGAAAGGATGGTTACAGACCGTTTGACATATTTATTGGAAAAGAGAGGAATATTAACTAAATATCAAAGTGGTTTTAGAAAAGGAAGAGGAACAATGGACCCTGTTGTATGTTTGGAAAATGAAATTAGAAAAGCTCAGGTAAATAAAGAATCAGTAATTGCAGTATTTTTCGATGTTGAGAAAGCATATGATATGATGTGGAGGGAGGGACTTTTGATAAAACTGAAAATGATGAATATAGATGGAAGAATTTACAATTGGATTAAAGATTTTATGGCGTACAGAAGTATACAGGTGAGAATTGGAAATGAATTGTCAAACAGATGTGAGATAGAAAATGGAACTCCACAAGGGAGTGTTATAAGTCCATTAATTTTTTCCATAATGATTAATGATGTATTTAATCAAGTACAGCAAGATGTAGGTCGATCTCTTTTCGCTGATGATGGAGCTCTATGGAAAAGGGGAAGGAATATTTTGTATATTAATGGAAGGATGCAAGAAGCAATTCGACGGGTAGAAGAATGGGCAGGTGATTGGGGATTTAAATTTTCAGTAGAAAAGACTAAGACTATAATTTTCTCTAGGAAAAGGATTATACCAGAAATAGACTTGAAGATGTACGGGAGGTCCTTAGAGAGAGTTAGAGTTTTTAAATTTTTAGGTATTTATTTTGATTCAAAACTTACATGGGTGGATCATATAAACAAAGTTATTGAAAAATGTCAGAAGGTATTAAACATCATGAGATGTGTAAGTGGAGTGGCATGGGGGGCAAGTTTTTTGTCATTAAAAACTATTTATGTGGCACTGATCAGATCTGTGTTTGATTATGGCAGTGTGGTATATGGTTCGGCTTCAAAAACCCTGTTGGAAAAACTGGATAAAATACAAACCCAAGCTTTGAGACAGTGTTGTGAAGCGGTAAAAACGACACCCATTCCTTCTTTACAAGTCCTGTTAGGGGAGATTCCACTGGAAATGAGAAGGAAACAATTAATGATCAATTACTGGGCTAACCTCAAGGGTCATAAAGATGATCATCCTACAAAAATGGTTTTAATGAAGTGTTGGGAACAAAATAAGTTGAGTAGAAAAAGTTTTGGATGGAGTAGTGAAGCATATGTAGAAGAAATGGAGGTAAATCGGTTTAAGATGAGCCCAACAGTTGTGATTCCTGAAAATGAACCATGGAATTATATAACTCCCCATATAGATTTACATTTGTTGGAAATTAAAAAAGCAGAAAGAGAAGTAGACATGTCTTCAGCATTCTCTGAACATTTTAGAACACAATATCCTCAATACTTACAAATATTTACAGATGGCTCAAAAGATCCAGAGCGAGAGACAACTGGAGCTGCTTTTTTAGTTCCTGACTGGGCTCATAGTATAAAGCGAACATCCAATCATTTGGCAGTATATACTGTTGAAATGATAGCAATACTCTTGTCCTTGCAGTGGGTAGAGGATTATAAACCTGGAAAGGTTTTAATTTGTTCTGATTCACTCTCAGTTTTAAAAAGTCTAAGGTCTTTTAAATCCAGTCATCAAGATATTCTTTTTAGTATTTTACAGATATATTCAAGATTGGTTCAGAATGATATTTTAATCAGTTTTATTTGGGTTCCATCACACGTAGGTGTAAAGGGAAATGAGGACGTAGATAAGTTAGCAAAACAAGCTTTGCAGAGAGAAGAAATAGAATTACAAGTTCCTCTAAGCAAGTCTGAAATTAAGGTTTTAATCTGGAAAAAGGTTATTGCAGAATGGCAAATAAAGTGGGACAAAAACGAAAAGGGTAGATTATTCTACAGTTTAATTAACAAAGTAAGTCAAAAAATAAGACATATTGGTAAAACAAGGAAAGAAGAGGTTGTTTATAATAGAATATTGTTGGGACATTCCAATCTTAATAGTACACTCAAAATATTAGGGAAACATCCAAATGGACTATGTGAACAATGCAAAGTAGAAGAAACAGTAACCCATGTAATTCTTGAATGTAAGGAATATGAGGAAGAAAGAAGTAATATGATAGTTGAAATCAAGAAGAATGGAATTCAGGTGGTACATTTTAAATCTTTAATAAAATGGGCAAGTGAAATAAATAGTAAAGCTTTCTTTCATTTTCTTAAAAGGACGGGATTAATAAGTAGAATGTAACTCTCTGTTCCACACTCCGGAGCAGAAGGTGGCGGTAATGCACCTAATTACGCTGGTTGCCAGCCGCCGTTAAAAGCCAAGAAGAAGAAGAAGAAGAAACGTACGCGCACCTTCTCACAGAACTGCATCCGGGTTCTGCCGCTGACCTTTCCTATATGAGCAGCGCACTCGACCTCCATTTCCTTCACTCAGCTCCTCGCGCTCCAGCCGGCCGCTGCAGGAGGACATAAGCTCGCGCTCCCGCTACACAAACCACCCGTAAACATGCTCTCCGTTCGCGTCGCGGCGGCTCTGGCCCGCACCCTGCCCAGACGGGCCGGATTCGTAAGTCTCATTTTGTGGCGTTTTTCGCGCCGGTGAATGTCAGCGCTGGTAAATGGCGTGCGGGTGTGCGTCGCCATCTTGCATTAAGCAGGGACTTGCGTTTCATTTAGCTTTATTTGAGTCTCGTTTTCAGCTACAGCTGTGCGGAGTTTAAGGGAACGGAATATACGCGTTTTAAAAGTGTATTTAAAATACAGAAGCATATAGTTGCATGTTTAGCACGGTTGCGATCAATGAATGACATTCCCAACTGAAGGTCAGGAAATGCTTCTTGGGTGTATGACATGTCAGCTGTCATTGGCTTTACTCTGGTGAATTTGGTGTGTTGTTCGAGTCTAATGTTTAAGTGCATCCTCATACATTTTTGTTGCACTGTAGGTTATTCTCCATTTATGCGGAAGTTTGGATGACGACATGGTGCCGCACTGTGATCTCTAAACGCAATCAGATTGCTAACATTGCATATGCAAACTTTGATTTAGTATTTGTAGCTGGTCTGCTTTTCAAGTCTTATTTGAAGGAAGAATGGGTTTAGCTCCAGTGACGCTGTTGTTGATGGCGAATGGAGGTCAAGGGCTTTTTATGGTTGAATCTGAAGTTGTCTGTATATTACTAACATTATCATTGTAGGATTCTAACCAGTATATTTGCAATTGCAGGTTTCCAAGAATGTTGCTGCTGCATGCGTTGGAGCAAAGAACCTGCACACTGCCAGACCATGGCTGCAGAAGACAGGTTATGAAATGTTTATTGATTTGCATTTAGTTTGTTTGTTTATTTTTTGTTTTTGACACATTTAGACATGCATGCTCTAAACACATTGTGTCGTTTTCTAGGCACAGCGGAGGTGTCCAGCATCCTGGAGGAGAAGATTCTTGGAGCCGATACTGGTGCTAATCTGGAAGAGACGGGCCGTGTGCTGTCCATCGGTGACGGTATCGCTCGCGTGTATGGGCTGAGGAACGTGCAGGCCGAAGAGATGGTGGAATTCTCCTCCGGCCTGAAGGTGAGTTAGCAAGGGATCAAGAGGCCAGATGCTCAAAGGCTGGGACACACCAAACCGACTTAAAAAAAACTAGCAGCTGACGGTGTTGTCGCCTTACACCACTCAAACTACAGCCGACTGCAAACCAACACCTGCAATTCTGTTCCTGTGTGAGAGGAATTAGCTGTCTGTATCAGCAGCTATCAATAGTATATATCCATCATTCAGAAGGAGAAAACGAAATGAGGAATTATGAGATGTACGCAGATATACAAAACGTAAAGAAAGCAGTGCTTGCTTACCATTTTGAATATCAGTTATGTTGATAACTAACTTCTTTTTAAGCGTCTCATGTTATGAAAATATTCGCATATTGGAATGCTTGGGTAAGATCACGTAACATTAGAACAGCCTTCTGTCTGTGCCGCCTTCATTTACTTGCTTGTTGTCATCACTTTCGCTTTAATTCTCGGGCACTGACTCGTTCACTAAACTGAACCTCCAATCAGTGTTCTCGCTGTGGAACACACCAAAGAAACTAACCTGACAGATGCTCGCTGACAACCCGATCTTGGTGTGTCCCGGCCTTAAAGGGTATTATGATAGTATGCTTAACGCACACAATATACATGTGCAATAAAATAAAAGCCAAAGCATGTTTTAGTTAGAAATGCATGTTTTAGAAACTGGTGTGTGTATACGCAAACCGGTCAAGTATTGACACCTACTTTTTAAGTTTTCCACTTTTTTTTTTTGTAATGTTTGCCTTTATTATGATAGGACAGTATTTCAGACGGGAAGAGAGGGGGGATGGGATTGGGAAAGGTCCGTGAGCCGGGACTCGAACTCAGCGCTATATGTTGGCACGCTGCCCATGAGGCTATTGGCGTTGACCACATTTATAATTTTTTTTTTTTTTTAAATATTTTATAGACTTTTTATATTTAACTATTTAATCCATTTACGTTTATAGAGTCTTGAATTAAATATTAAAAATATAGAAAAATAGTATAGTATAAATTAAAATGAAATAGTCTGACTAGTTAAACTAGTTACTAGTTAAAAGTGTAGTATACATGAGTAATCATAAAGGGTTAGTTCACCTTCAGTTGCTGGTCCCC